AAGGCAGATGCTTAACGACTGAGCCACCCAGGCACCCCTTAACTACTTTTTTTTAAAAGGTGTTGAGAGACAGTATCACTAAATTTCATTCAAAGAATCCATCCCCCCTCCCTGCAAAAAAAAGAATGTGTTCCCCTTGTTAATGCTTTCTAGATGCCATTATTACCTTACTTGTTAAGTGTGCATGTTCTTTATTGCTATTTCTAATGATAGTAGCACTTTTATGTTACCTTTGTTATAGTTACATTATTTCAAGAATAGTGTATTTGTATTAATAGAATCATAACAGTATGGAGCCTTTTATCTGTTTATCTTTAAATTTAAATAAATTTAAAGTGATTGACTTTACCTAGTTTCTAGATCATTGAAATATGTACAATAAAATTTTAACCAAAAAAATTTCAGAAGAACTTTTTTTAAAAAGTTTTTTGTTGTTGTTCTCTTGTTTGATTTATTTAACTAGACACAATAAATTTAACACCTGTAGCACAAATCCTATTATAATAAAGATAAAGGCAGATTAGTAGTCTAGTATATAAAAATTGGAGAAAATACCTTATTAGAAGTTCTTTTATCTTATAATTTAGGGATAAGTTTAATTTCATTTGTGCTATTTAACTTAAAGTTTATTTTGAAGACATGTAAAATGTTTTTGAAAAATTGTATCATATTTCAAAAAAAGGGGTTTGTTTCTTTCCTAGAATTCTCTACCAGTACTTGTCTTAGTGATCTTACCCAATCTCATGGCTTTACATATAATGTGTGTGCTCGCTCCTCCCTAACTTCTTCCAGCTCATAATTCTCCCCTGACCTTACAACTTGTATACCCAGCTGCCTACTCAACAGCACCACTTGACATATCAGACATAGTATGTCCAAATTGAATTTCTCACCCTCCCCAAACAGAAAATAGTAAAACCTGCTCTACCCTCCATGTTTTCCTTCTTTATTAATGGCCATCTCTCCTTCCATTTGCTCATTCCAGAAATGTTAGACTTATCCTTGATTCTCTTCTGCCTCACATTTGTGAACACATCTTACTACCTTCAAAATATATCTAGCATCTGACTCGTTCTCCCAACCTCTGTTGTGTTTCTACCCTGGTCCACCCCATCTTTATTCTTTATATGGATGATTTCTGCCTGCTTCCATCCTTGCTTGCCTGCAGTCTATTCTCATGAGCCTGAGGGACCTATCAAACAAAAACCAGATCATGTTTCTTCTCAGAACCTTTCAGTGGTTCCTCATTTTTTCCAAAGTAAAAATCAAGTTTTTACACTGGCTCATGAGGCCTTACACAATCTGTTCTCTGTACCGCCCGCCTTCTCTGACTTCATCTTTTTCTATTTTCTGCCACCCTAGCTCTCTTGCTTTTTCTCAAACACAGAAGACACCATCTGCCTCAGAACTTCTGCACTGACTGAAACACTCTGTAGATATCTTATGAGATGTAATCTTTCACCTCCTTCAAGACATTGCTCAAATGTCACCTTTTTCCATGAGCCTGTACTTTACCCCATTTGAGATCCAGCCTCCTCTCCCTTGCCATGCTCTATTTGTTCTCCAAAGAGTTTTATTTACCTCGTAGTAAAAGTTATGAAAGGACCAGCAGTTTTGACTTTTTTTCACTGATGCATTGTCCAGTGCACAGACTGTGCTTGGCTATAATTTTTGCTGAATGAATAATTGCATGAAAGAATTTTAATGAAACTCTTGTATGGTGTGTGTATGCATGCACACATGCATGTGCATGTATGGGGGGTTCTGTGTGTTTATATAGTAAAATAATATAAGTTAACATAAGTTTTCAATCAAAATATTTTCTCTTAAATTGGGTTTGGGTAGTATAAAATTGTTGGCTAAGACACATCTGTCTTTCCTTCATTTGAGCTATTTTGTATATGGGACAAAAGACAGCAATTCCTAGATATTTAGATCAAAACAACAAATGTTTTTAAAACCATTTTTCAGCTTCAAGAATGATTGTGATAAATATCTGTGGGTTAGTAACTTAGAATTTTTTAAAAACATGATTATTAACTGGAAATTTAAAGAGATAACATAGACATCTGAAAATTAAAGTTTTTAATTTTAGTAATCCCATTCTAAGCTTCATAGAAATTTTCCTTTCTCTTTTTTTCTTAAACTTTAAACATAGGCTTTTTCATACAATTTAGTATAAAGAAATAATCTTTTAGGTGGAATGTTGTGTCAGACAACTATGGCACTCATACCCTCGTACTATTCTAGAAATTGTACAGCATATGGAACTTTTAGGATAAGCTTATCTGTGAACTGCTTCCCCTATTAAAGAACTAATTCATAAGTACCCTTGTACCCAACCAACATAACATCTTAAGCTTGATGTATTTCCCAAATCTAAATCCAGATTTTTTTCCTGTGACAGATAGCACTACTGCCAGACATTTCTGATTTATTCTGATGGAGAAAATTTCCTGTTTCTTGACTGATTTAAATTTAGTCTTATATACAAACATTTGCTAGCTAATTATTAATCACATTCATTATGACTCTGAATTGGTAAAAATATAAAACACTAGAATTTTCTAAAGAATTCTATTACAGCATTGTGAAAATACCTCTCGGTCAGTTTTCATTGTTAAAATGTTAGATTTAGAGTAGTCAATCTGTGGTGCCTTTCTTCCACAGTTCTGATAAAATAAACAGTCACAAATGTTAAGAAAATTTAGGATGAATTCTAGATTCCAGTCAATCGTGTTGAGCCAGTATGCATAGATCTTCAACTAGGTGAATAAATCCCTATATATCCTTTAGTCAAATAGGGTTTTTTGATTCATTCACATGCAGTTACAAAGGAATTTCAGAATCCAGAAATATACATACTTAGAAAGCCCATGTGACTTTGTGCTATGAGATTAAATTTTGTGGAGTATAAAGTTTATCCTGGAAGGAAATATCTACTTGTTACAGAGCTTAATTCATTTGTATCCAACTTGCGAGTTATTAAATGTAAAGTTTTTATAGAGTTTAGCAAACAAATGCAAGAGCTACTTGGTTGAATATCTGTTTCTGAGAAAACTGTTTTCTATTTACAGTCTTATCTCAACCCATGGTGACAGCTATCTTCTCTTATTCTAGGGAGAGATAATGTGAGGGGGAGAAAAACCTTCCTAGTGGATGGTATGCTATTTCAGTAGTCAGCATTCTGAAGTAGTTTCAGAATTGAGACTAAATAAACACTACATCAAAAACTAATGATGTACTACTGTAATGGTGACTAACATAACATAATAATAAATAAAATAAAATTTAAAATAAATAAATAAATACAGTCCTGAGGGGGAAATAAATCTCTTGTTATATGTTTATTGATCTTGTGATTTCACAAAATGAAAAAATGTTGATTGAAACACCTAGAAATCACTGATAACTACAGAGTTTATGACAAGTTTTTCTTTGGTGTGTAGCTGAAAACCAGACTTAAGAGCTGAAATAACCCGAGTACTCAAGATATCCTATATACTGCTTTGGTGCACTCAGGATTTTCTTACAAGAGTATCTTGTTCTGGATAATTTGTGATTTTATAATCGAGTTAAGAGATTCATTTATTAAAGTTTCATAATAAACCTTTGGCCTGAATTCAACATCATAACTACTGCTTGGAATACCATACACTGAGAGAAGTGTGTTTAGCTATGTTTCAAATGATAGAAAATGTGGGGATGGTCTTACAATCTTATTATAAATAGTTTTGTCCTATTAACCATAAGAAAAAAAGGGGGAAGTATAGGTTTGCTAATACACTCTGAATGCATAAACAAAAAAATTAATAAAATAAGAACTGTTTGTAACATAGCATTAAACAGCAGCTTAACATGTTTTTCCCAGATTAAAAACTTTCTTGGTAAAGGTGGATATTTGTTTTTCTCTTTGCTGACATCCACTCCAGAGCAGTATGGGTTGATTTAAAAGTGAAGACTTCATCTTCCAAGGGGTAGGGAGGACAGATCCAAAGTATTCAGAGTCCATATTACTAGTTACCTCTCTGCATTTAGCTTTTAGCATTAACAACATGCTTTGCTTTCCAATTCTCTCTATTCTAGTCTATGCAAGGGAAACTTTCTAAAGAAAAATCAACTACTCAAAAGATGATGGAAGAGCTGGAAAAGAAAGAAAGAAACCTACAGAGATTAACAAAAACATTGCTTGATGTGAGTAGAAAAAATTCAAATTGTTTTCAAAGAACGATACAGTACTTATTCAAGTTAAAGCAGATACTTATTTTGTACATATTCATAGAACATTTTTTAGTTGAAGATTTGATTTTGGTGTGCCAATTAAATCCATTAGGTTTCTTACAAAATTTTAATTAAAAGGCAAACTTTTATTTTCCTTATGTCTCAGAATATAATTTCACAGACTTAACTGCAACACAGTCAAATATTATATAGAGATTAGGTCCCAGAGTAATTCAGTAAAGCATAAATTGAACATAAATAAAATTACCTTTGGAAATCCTTAAGGAAGTTGCAGTGTTGACACTTCATCATTGGAACAGGTCACACTTTCTTCATTTAATTACAAGATGACACACTTGACTTGCATTTAAGGATATGTTTTACAAAAAAAAAGAAATACTTATGGTAGTTTTTTAACTCTCATCATGACATTTTGCCTCTAAATACCCAGAATGCATCTCCAAAAATTAGGGACATTTCTCATATAACTACCACCATTGTCAAACCCAGTAAGAATAATATTCCTCAATATTTGATAATACCTCGTCTGTACCAAAATTTCCCCACTTCTTTCCCAGATGCTTTTTATGACAGTTGAAACCAACATTCAATCAAAGACCATTAAGTTGAGTTTCATTTTGTCATATAAAATTTCTCACTTTTTCCATGTTAGTGACTTGTTGACAAATCTGGGCCTGTTGTCTTAAAGACTTATAGATAATCAGGCCTTCTAGATTTGTCTGATTGCTTTCTTATGGTGTCATTTATCTTGTTCTCTACCCCCTCTATCTCTTATACCCTAAAAGTAAGAGCTAAAGATACCATGAAGTCAAGTCAAACGTTTTTTGGCATGAAGACTTTGTAGGTGTTGTTCATGTCATCAAATTATTTATGTTTGGTTATCCCACTGTAAGTGACAGAAATACTGATCTCACTGGGTTAAAATGGTAACAGACTAATTTTTTCCATTGTCACATTATGGCCTCTGCAAATAGCAGGTAATCTGTGGAATGATACTTAGGTAACTGTGAATATGCAGTTTATCAGTACCCTTTCCCTTGATGGTTTTAGTATTCACTGATGATCATTGTCTAAATTATTACATGATTAAAAGAATCATATTTTTTTCTAATTATTTTTACATTTATTAGCTGGCATTCATCTATTAAAAAAATCTTTTCCTCATCAATGCAGGCTGGTTATTTTGAAATACAGTTCCAACTGGAAGGCTAATTAAATTGCCTCTAGCAGTTTTCAGAATGAGAAGTAGATGGTGACAGTTTTGGGGATGAAGTGAAGGTAGATTTTTCTGAGTGTAATAAATTATGAGTTCATATTGATTGATACTTCCAATTCAAATTTCACAATTCAAAATTGTTAGGGTTTTTTTCCTTTCTTTGATTTTATACTTGCAGTTCTTTTTCTCTTATGCTGAAAATTTTGGTTCCTATCAACATTAACATAATGTAGGTACTTTTTTCTCAATATGCAACAGATAGTTTCAAAGTAACTAAATCATTATTGCTACTAACGGTAAAACTACAGGATGAGGTTTAAAATTTCTTCATAATTCTTTTTGTTCTTGGGATAAATTTCATTATAGAAGAATACATATATAACCAAGATGCTTATTATGTGACATTATGTGGCATGAGATACTCCTAGAAAGTGAGTCTGGATTTGTTGCCCCTTTCAGATCTACCCTAGGGCATGAGATGACACAGAGGAATCACTGAATCATTTCATTTCCACTATTTTAAATTCCTTTTTTTTCCCCCCACTGTGTGTATGCAGTTAAATTTGGTTAATGTGTATGTAATATGACTCCACCGTTTTGTTTATAAATGGGGGATAATGTTCAGACAACTGCATGACTTTGAGTACCCTTTCTCTGTTCTAACAACCTGATTTATGTTTTCTTTATCCTTTGCAGAACCAAAGGCAAACAGAAGAGACGTGCTCTTTATTGGATCAGGGCCAGGAAGCAGACCAATCCAGGCAGCAGACAGTACTTACCAAATGGCCACTATCCGATTTGAGTGTGATTGATCAGCTGTTCAAGGAAATGTCCTATTGTTTGTTTGACTTGAAGGCATTGTGTAGTATTCTCAATCAGCGTGCTCAGGGCAAGGAGCCTAATCTTTCATTATTACTGGGAATCAGATGTAAGTCGCTGATGCCTTGTCCTTACTATATTGCTTAGCAATTAGAAACCTGTCTTCATGAATCAGGAACCTCTTACTGCCTTTTCCTTATTTGTTTTTATCTCCTTTCCTACTTAGATTTATAAATCTCTGAATAAATCTGTAGGTCTGTGAATACCTGTTATTACTTCATTGCTAGAACTTACCTCATACTTAGAGAAGTGAGCAGGGTCATAGTTGATACGGACTGCCACCTGGCAGAATGCCTACAGATCTACCTGTGTGGATGAGCTATGTAATCTGTTAATATGTGACTGGAGTGGTAGTTAGGTGTGATATTCCTGATTACTCTTCTAAAAGTAATGATTCTATTGGCTTTTGTGTGTTAAATGTAGAAGTTAATGATCCAGCATCTGTCTGCTGCTAAAATATTTGAGAGAAGCTACTCCTTTGCTTTCCCTATACAGTGTATGTCTGTGGCAGTTGCTTAATATAAGTACCAGTGGTGGGGTGCCTGGGTGGCTCAGTCGGTTAAGTATCTGCCTTCGGCTCAGGTCATGATCCCTTCCTGGGATCGAGCCCCACGTCAGGCTCCCAGCTCAGCGGGGAGTCTGCTTCTCCCTCTCCCTCTGCCTCTCCCCCTGCTTGTGTGCTCTCCATCAAATGAATAAATAAAATCTTTAATATATATATAACTACCCGTGCTGTCACAAGAGCTAATTTTCATGGCTTATAGATCTGTTGCCCTTGTCATGCATATACACTCTGGCCTTGTCTCTTTCAATATGACACCCACCCGTTGTTCCTCAGTTCCATATTCTTCCACACATAGTTGTGAGAGCTGCCACAGGAATATCCTAGTTTCCCTTCTGTGCTGCTTTTGCAGAAACACACATCTCTGCATGTGGTTCTAAATTACTATAATATTGATATGTTGGTCTCTTTTTAATACAGAAGAAATGGGCATAAGTAAGGAGATATGATTGGAGTAAGACTGTAAGGTTTATGTACCTACTATGTTGTATTGAATAATTGCCTAATAATATGGTTAATATGTGACTAGAGTGGACACTAGTTTTATTTAGTTTCATCAAAAAGATTCTACCATCTGGCGTCATGATAGTTATTTTGACAAAACCAAGAATACTTTCCATCAAAGTATAGCCCTTGTTAAATGAAACATGTAACTGTGCTCGGAGATGTCAGATATGTGTATACATATATGTGGGCATGTAAGAAACACTTTAAAGTGTAAGTATATTGACTTAGTAAGTAATTATTAAATGCTTTATATAGTCCAGATACTAAGGTGCGGATAATGCAGTTGAGCACAGCCGTTGGCCCACGCACAAACTAAATTACTAGAGCATTGTGATAAGTACTATAATTGAGATGTGGGCGGAGGACAATGGGGGCCCAAGGGGAAAACTAACTAAATGGGAAGGGCTGTGAAGGCTCTGGTGTTCGGCTTGAATCTTAGAGTCGGAGAGGTTTGCCAGGTCAACACGGGGTGGTTTAGTTAGCAGTAAAAGCTCACACACAAAAGACTCATTCTCTTCACCATTTTAGAGGTGGTCACCCCTTCAGTTATTTTGTAACCTTCTGCATTTGTATTCTTCTACATATAGTATTTGTCAACTTTTCCAGTAATTAGATTAAGAGAACTATCCAAATGTGAATAAAAAGAGAGATTCAAGAACTTTGTCGCATTCACCTCCCAATGTATACCCCTTCCAGTCTTTCAAGTTTAACCCCATAATCCTTACCTTATATCCTGGTACTGTGAAAATTTGACCAGCTAGCTAATTTGTCAAAAACCAGTGGATTATTTTGAATCCCTGTCTCCTCACTCCATCCATTGCTCATTGACACTGTTCACCCCACCCTTGTTTTTTAAAATGCTCTGCTACCACAGTTTCCATGGCTTCGTTCTCTAGGTTCTACTTCTGCCTTTATGACTGCTGAGTCTTAGTCTTCTCTGGAATTCTCTGCCATTTAAATTATTAGTGTCTCCTGGAAATCTTTTGTTGCTGATTTTTTTTTGTTTCTTTTTTTAAATTGGATTATTTGTGGGTTTTTTGTTATTGTGTTGTATAAGTTCTTTATATATTTTGAATATTCATCCTTTATCCAATATATCATTTGCAAATATCTTCTCTCATCCTATAGATTGTCTTTTTGTTTTGCTGATAGTTTTCGTTTTGCTGTGCAAAAGCTTTTTATTTTGGTATAATCCCAATGGTTTGGTTTTGCTTTTGTTTCCTTTGCCCGAGAAGACCTGTCTAGAAAAATGTTTCTATGGCTGATGTCAAAGAAATTACTGCCTGTGTTTTCTTCCAGGAGTTTCATGGTTTCAGATCTCATATTTAGGTCTTTAATCCATTTTGAGTTTATTTTTGTGTATGGTCTAAGAAAGCAGTCCAGTTTTATTCTTCTGCATGTAGCTGTCCAATTTCCCCAACACCATTTGTTGAGTGGACCAAAAACCATTTGTCTTCTCCCCATTGTATATTTTTACTTCCATTGCCAAAGATTGACCATATAAGCATGAATTTATTTCTGGACACTCTGTTCTGTTGATCTATGTGTCTGTTTTTGTACCAGTACCATGCTGTTTTGATTACTACAGCTTTGTAGTATGTCTTATAATCTGGGATTACAATACCTCCAGCTTTGTTGTTTTTGAAGATTGCTTTGGCTATTTGAGATCTTTTGTGGTTCCATACAAATTTTAGGATTTTTTCACAACATTTGTGAAAAGCGTTGGTATTTTGACAGGAATTACATTAAATCTGTAGATTACTTTGGGTAGTATGGATATTTTAACAATATTACTTCTTCCAATCCATGAGCTCAGCATATCTTTCCATTTGTTGGTGTTGTCTTCAGTTTCTTTCATCCATGTTTTATAGTTTAGGGCATACAGGTCTTTCACCTCCTTGGTTAAGTATATTCCTAGGTATTGTATTCTTTTTGGTGCAACTGTAAATGGGATTGTTTTTTTAATTTCTCTTTCTGCTACTTCACTCTTAGTGTATAGAAATGCAGCAGGTTTCTTTATACTTGTATAATTTGTGTCCTGTGACTTTACTGAATTCATTTATCAGTTCTTTGGTAGTCTTCAGGGTTTTCTGCAAATAGTGTCATCTGCAAACAGTGAAAGTTTTATTTATTCCTCAAAAATTTGGATGCTTTTGCCTCTCTTTTTATATATTTTCTCTCAGTAATCTTAGCCAAGTCCTTTTGTTTTCTGTTAGTGCATACAGACATTTATCTCTTACCCTGCCTAGAATGTCCCTTCTGGGCTCTTGATTATACTTACCTTATATTAGAACCAGTTATTCAATAGGCATCATAGACTCAACTATATCTAAAAGAGAACCTACCTTTCTTCCCTCCCTAAACCTACTCCTCCTGTCAGTGAGTAGCACCTCTATCCACCTGTCACACTAATCCAGATTTTTCTCCACCCTACTCTTTCCTTCATCTGGGTATGTCGTTTGCCTAGTCCCTAACCCCTATACAACTCATGATGGTTGAGCTCTATCATTTCTACCAGTCCCTTCCTAGCATTCATTCCTCCCATTACATCTCCACTGCCCTATTGCCTTAAATCAAGCTTTCAAAGTCTTCACCTGGACTGGTCTCTTTGTCAACTGTCTTGCCCACTTTCCCCCACTAATCCAAATTTTTTCACATTGCTGCCAGAGTGATCTAACCTAATGGTGATTCTGATTTCCTAATACTTACAGTCCCCTAAAATAGAGATAGGTAGTTCCCACCTGCCTCTTTAGCCTTATTTCTTGACCCTTGCCTTTCATAATTTGTGCTCTGCCATTTTAGAGCTTGTTACTCATTTTCTTGAAGTTTCTCAGATTCTTTGGTTTTCTGCTTTTGTACCTTTATTCATTCTGCATCCTTGGCCCATCCAGTGAACCTGTGCCCTCTCCAGTTAGGCTGGTTGTTCTCTTCCTTGTGCCATTGTAGCCTGTGTATGGTGGTAGGACACCTACAATACTTGACTGTGCTTGTTTATGAAGTATATGTAAATCATTAATAAACTACTACATCCATTATTTTGCTGGCCTTAGCATCTAGCATAGTGCCTGGATCATAGCAGGTGTTCAGTTAGTGTTTGTTAAAATAACATATAAGTTAATCTTAGTCTTACACCTCCAGTAAGCTACCAATGCCAGTGAAGGTATAAGGAAAGATTTATTTTACAATTACTGGCTCCATCTGCTTTTATGTTGAGATGTGCTGACAAAGAGAGGAACTGATGTAAATAATTACAAGCCAACTGCCTCAGGGCCTCACCCTCAGTCATTCAGCCATTGGGCAGCTAGCCATCAGCCCAGTTCAATTGCGTAGGGTTGTAGTGGTTCGTACACACACACACACACACACACACACACCCATATGTTTTGGATATTTATGCTTTCATGCCAATAAACCCATTTTGCAGTCTATAAAAATTTAAGCTATCACTCCTTAATACAGAAGTGATTTTCAGATTTTTATCAAGTCAGAATGAGTGCTGTAGTTGAGCTTGAAGAGAGCTATTAGAGCATGCTTCTTCCTACTTTTGGAATGTTGTCATCCTTTAAACATGTTAAACGTGTGTGTATTACTGTATGGATTTAATGCAATTTAATTAGCAAAAATTTAAAAGGAACAAGTAAATAAGATCTATTTAATACTGAATGATACATCATGTAAATCTGAACCTGACTGGTATTCAGCATACAGCATTGTATTTCTAATGATACTGAAGTTAAAAATCCTAAAATGCCTTTGTTCAAAAAAAGTGTGAGACATTCTCCATATTTTATTTCCACAGCAATGAACTGTTCAGCTGAAGAGACTGAGAATGACTATAGCCCAGAAACACTCACTAAAAAATTGTCAGATGTATGCCAGTTACGGAGGGACATCGATGAATTAAGGACTACAATATCAGACCGCTATGCCCAGGACATGGGAGACAACTGCATTACCCAGTGATCAACTATTGGTCCCACAGCAATAATGACCCATTGTTAAATGCTGCTGTGTTACAGTTCTTCATATTTCTTTTTAGGAGCCATAATGGAAAGTCGCAAGTGACATATCACTTACACATAGGATTTTTTTTTTTCTGTGGATTTGTTTTCCTGGGGGAGAAAGGGGATTTGATGAGGTTTCAAAGGGGCTTATCTAATCAGGCCAAAAAACCAAATTACTATTAGAAAAATGTGATGACGTGTATAAGGGGAAAAAAAAATCTGTCTTCTCAAACTACTGATTGTAGGACCAAGCTGTGAAGAGTGCCCTTCAGATAAAGGAGTAGGATTTCTTTTTATCTGCAGTTGTGTGTGTGTGTATGTGTGTGTGTATTCACAAAATTATAAGGATTTCTAAGGTCAAAGCAAAGCTTCTAAGAAAGGCACACACTGTTTATTCTTGTATTTCTTTTCTTTCATGTAGAAGCTTGTGTTGTACTTTGGGGTTTTCAAGGGCTGGCTGCACAAGAGCTCCAACAGCAGGCGAGTGTTTTAATAGTAGTACAGCTGTGTTTTGAACCATCTGTCTTTCAGACAACCACTGTGCTGAGATGATGAGGTTGTGGGGTTGGGTTGATGTTAGCACTGTAGATAGGTCAGCTATTTTTCCAGAGTGATTGTGGGTTGCCTTCGAGGTATGAAATGTTATGTGATAATCTTTTTCATTAGCATTGCAATTTATATATCACAAGGCAACTTAACACAACTTGAACTAATTTTAACATGTCCCTTACTATTTACAATTTTTCACTTGTATCAATGTAAACAAAGCCATAAAGAATTAATGCTAACCTTCTAAGGCCATTGTAAAAGAAGGATTAAAAAAGTCACTCTGGAACAATAGTTTATCCAATTCTCAAATGTTTACATTTTAACAGTTTTGTATGTCTTAAAGTTAAAACTACTTTAAGAAAAAGCCAACCTGTATTCTTTATATCAGAATTATCACAAATATAAAACAAAATCAAAACCAGGTGATATTTCAATTACATGTATTAGGTAAAGTACATTAAAAACGGTTTTTCATACACGACAAGATTATTTCTTCTTCTGGAGTGCAGGATATCATTATGAGATGCAACTGATTTTTAAGTAGACATACAATTATTTAAACTTCCAAATGAGTATTTTCCTGTTTTAGTTGGAGTTTTGGAAGGACTACATATTTTATTGCCTTCAGAGCATTTATTACATTCTTTTGAATATACTTAATTATGGCAATCATTGTTCTTTACAAACTGGTTTGTTTTCTTGATGCAGCCAGGTCTCATGTAGGTCAAGACTAAATAAGAGGTAGAAGGAATAAGGGGTGTGAATTCAGCAGGATAATACTGTTTGGGGCAAGAAGAGATCACATGTCTGGTTTTTTTGCCAGGCTTATATACTGGTATAAAGGCTGCTCCTAGAAAAGATTTTTCTTACATATTTTCAGCAGTGAAAACATATGTGGGATAAAAACTTCAAGGAAACTACCCAGGAAGACATTCAGTTCAGAATTTGGCTAATATGCAGCACTCAGTAAGTTATTTTGTGGTTATGTTACAACAATTGGTTATAATACATTGTAAGGACATCAAACTTTCCTTTTGTTCAGTGCCTGAGTCCTCCCTACTCTTACTGCTTAGGATCTGGGCACTAAGAAATCAGTGCATCATGTGATTCTGCATTCCAAGTACCTGTCCTAATAAGGAAAAGTCATCGTAAGAATGTGGCATTCTAATTTGTTCAATTGTTTTTTAATGTTGGTGGTTTGAAGACAATCAGGGAGTAGTAAATTTATACCAAAAATCTGATGCAAAAGAATTCTGCCTTGTAAAAATATCTGTAAAAATGGGCCTTTATATCAAGTAGATAATAGCATCTGAATGAGATAAGCCACGGTGCAGCACACAACATTGTTATGTTCTCTCTCAATAGAAACTCCAGCCCCCTACCAGAGTACCTAGTCATACCTCCACGATTTTGGAAGTAAAGGCACCCTAAGATGATAGCACTAATGTGCATAAATAATCACTGATTTGGGTCACTAGGTTCTTAATGTCTTCTAGGTTTTTAGTATATGTTTTGGAGTTTTATGGTTATTATTATTATTTTAAACAAACTTAAACATTTGCTTTAATTTACTGTAGATACATATTTTTTTCTGGCTTAGGATAAAATATTTAATTTTTTAAATAAGGTTTCTAAAACTTATAGAATTTGACTTAATTCACATGTCTTGAGGTAAAAATGTGTTAATTTAGAAAATTGACAAACTACTACTGGTGTATTTCAGTTCCAAAATGTCTACCTCTCCATAAATAAAAAAGGAAAATAAGATGTGATAGTGTAAGTATAAGTTTAAATATAACCCTGAGTTACAAAAGTACAAAAGTAATCTCTTGGAGTCTGGAGTTTGTGAAGGGACCTAGGTAATAAGTAGACAGTCTTGGAATATTTTTGGGGAAATGAAATAGTAGTATTCTAATTTGTCAGTATTTAATTTTTATTTTATTTTTCAGAAAATTCCCCTTTCCCAAGATAACCTCTTCTGTTAGAATATAATAATATCGATATCTCAATTGAAAACAAAGATTTTGCTGTTAGGTCAAGTAAGATGGGCAAATAGAAACACTATAGTGTCTTATTCTAGTTTGAACTAGGATGTTTTCAGAAGTTATTATACTGATATATGTCTGAGATGAAAATTAACCTAAATTTTGAAGTTAAACATATTTGATAATTTCCTTAGATGTGAAAACTTTTTAATTATGCTTTTGTGAGTTCAATGCTTGTCTTCTTAGGAAGTGTCTCATGCAGTATTAACATTTATTATTGGTTTTCTGGATTTTGAAGTTGAGCTTATTCGAGCAGGGATAAAGTAACAGTATCTCAATAAAAGACCCAGTTACCTGTGCAGATAAAAATAACTGAATCAAAGGCACAATAGTTAGTTGTTTTTTTCATTTGATGTCTGAAGGATGACTTTAGTTAAACTGTTAGTAAATTTTCAGTGGCCTCTAATTTTGAAAGCTTAAGTAATGACTAGGTTAAGTCATTCCTGGATTTCTTTTTAAATAAGTGTGGTCCCTTTTTATATTTGAAATGGGATTCAGTGTTTACTATTAACAACATTATTTTTAATGAAATTTATTTTGGTCATGACAGTTTACTCACTGAATTAGACTTCTTTCAGTAGCTTGTTAAAGACAATCTCAAGGGCTGCAAAGTGTTGCTAAAATGGATATTGTACATTTCTGATTCAGTAAGGAGCTTATAAATTAATCTTGTCATAGTTCAAGACATTACTAGAAATCTCTTCGAGGATATTTTTAAAGGAACTACTTTATTGGGAAAATATTCTTTCAATATCAGTAATAATTCATTGAATAACTTAGTAGCTGGGAATTTGGGACTGTATTTTTACATAGCATAGTTCAGCTCAGGCACACCTTTAGTTTTGATTATTGGCATTCTCTGATGTAGATTTCTGTCATTGTAGATATGTAAGTACAATAATAAGCAATTCTCATAACCATGCTCACTCAGACTATATCATTTGAAACTGCCAGTAGCTATAGCTCTCAAAGCCAAAGTTAATTCATTTTGTTCCCATTTTTGACAATTTTCAGTGTTCACAAAACAAGAAAAATGATTTCCTATTTGGTGTAAAGAGTATAATTTCCAACTTTACCCCAAGATGCCATGGTGGTATATTACTGTATGATAATATTATACATTTAATCATGAAGGGGGAAAGCTTTTGCATTTTTTTGTTACTTAAAAGAAATACTGAGTATATTAATGTAGTTTCAAATCAATAAGTCATTAACAACACTATTGCAGCTGCATACAGAGAGAACCTTTTGTGCCTTTTTGCCTACAGTAAGCATTCATTTCTGTTTTATGTGAGTTATAAGAATGTTGATGATTATCGCACCTTGTTCTTCTGTAAATAGACTTGATTAAGGATTTTTTTCTTAAGCAAGGAACAGGTTTTCATTACTAGGTTAGATACCTTAGGAAACATGAGAGGATATGTCTTTGGAGCCCAGCCTTTTCCCAGTATAGTGAGCAGGAAACTCCTTCAGAATGTAGTTATTTGTGTGCATATGTGTGTATATATATGTATAAATATTTAAATACAGGAAGATAAAATTTGGCATCACATTGGTGTGATGACAAGAAGTAGTAAGGTGCTAGCGAGGTGGTTACATTAAAAGCACAGAAGAGTGTATAATCAGTCACTATGACTGGTGGTTTTTGTAAACTCGGTTCAGTTTTTGAACCACCCAGAATACCTCATGTGTAAATACAGAGTGGTCATGACTTAATTGAAATACAGTTATTGTAAAAAGAATGTGAAGCCACTGGTTGGCTTATGCCTTCTGATCTATCATTCTTGCCTCTTTTTTTGTAAAGGGGTTATTTTTTTGTTTTTGTTTTTTAATAGGGTTTACAGCTAGAATTTTGAATGCCAAAGTTCTATTTATTAAATTAAAAAAAGTTTTCAATGTTAATGGCTAAGTATTTTTCCACTGGACTATTGTTTGTGATGTTGGAATTTGTATTTACAGAGAAATAAATTTTTTATAAAAAGATATATGTCTTTGGGAGTGCCTAATGTTAATATAAGAATGTATTCAAAATTTCAGACTCCACTGAATTCTCAATGACTTGACTTTTAGGTAAAAGCTTTCTATGAACACACAAGAGAATCTTTGACTAGAACATGGATACTTCTGCTTTTAGTCTCTTACAATTTCTTTTCAGTTACTGAAAAGTTTTTTCTCAGGGTCTTTCCATGAAGGGCACTGAGATTTTCTGATGACAGGTGCCATAAATACAAAGGCATGCCTGTATTTATTTTAGCTAATAGTGCTGTGTCCCCCTTTTCGATTTTTTAAAAATCCCTAATTAAATCAAGAGTTTTCTTTCTACTTTTCCAACAGACAGCATCGGTTTCAGTTTTTCATATTGCTGGAAGGTTGGGCTGGCAAGTTAAATCATACTTATTTTCCCCCTTTTAATTAGAGGTTGAAACCTTACTGAAACATACACAAATACAACCTTGTTAAAAGGTTACTCCACAGGGGCCTTGACATCTAAGCTTTAATGGTTTGCTAGCCTGGGCCCAGAGATGCCCTGTGGATGGCACCCTTGGTCCTTGTTCTCACACGTATGGGCGGTAGCCTCAATGTCTCTAGGAAGTTGGTTAATATTTGGATTAGCAGTATCTGTTTGCAGTCCAACTAACTTGGCATTGCTCTGTCAGTCTTTTGTGAGGCATCTAATTCAGTTAACAGGAGAAGGACCACTTTGGAAATCATGCATCACAAACCATATAGGTTGCAAGCGAATGTCTTACAAATAAAAACAGAGTGGACAAAATCCTAGAACATTTTTAAGGTGATTAGTTAAGAGGTCTCTCCTTCAGAAAGAAAGATATGATTATTTTTGATCTGGTTAAAAAAAAAATATTTTGATGGGGGGGAGTCAACAAAGAGCTTTTGATAGTGTACGTCCCAGTGATTTTGCCAATGGTTTGAGCTTCTCCAAGCCAACTTCCCCTAACCAAACAGAACCATTCTGTGTGGAAACACAGACGACTCCATTTAAAAGAGGTGTGAGATACATGGTAGTAATGGCACAAAATGGTGGGGTGTGGATCCAGCAGAGCAAACATCCTTTAGAAAGGAACAAAATCTCAACTTAGAAAATGAATGCTGTTGCATCTAACTTTGAGCGCATATATTATGCACAAGTCTGGAGAATAATAATTTAAACAGAAATAGTGTATACAGCTGGCATCCCTTCTAAACAAGAAAGCAAGGTAATTTAATTTACACCTTGTATTCCTACACTGATCATTTAGTCATAAAACAAGTGGTTAAACTTGTTTAATCGCCTGTGATTAAAAAATAATGCACAGCCATTGCCTTCTATATCATCATCAACATCATCATCATCATTCTCATTAACATTTGAACACATGCCAGCCTAGTGTAAGGACCTTGCATAAATCATCTCGTTTATTTCTCTTTATAATATTCTATGAAGTAGAAGTAGGTGCTATTATTATCCCCACTTAAGGCCAAAAGATGGAGCCATAGAAAGGTTTAATATCTTGAACAAGTTAGAAGAGCTTGTAACAGCCACAATAAGAACCAGGCCTCTTTAACTCCATAACCTGACTCTAAACCACTTGCTAGATTTCTGTTGCCTATTAGTGCTCAAAATTAAACTCCTTCTTCCAAAAGCTGCTTCCTTGTTGAGCTGCTACATTTCCATAAGTTACACCTTTATTCCAAGAATCATTTGTGGTGATTTCTTCCCTATATACCCATCCATATTAGTTTCCTATTCCTTCTGTAACAAATTTCCACAAACTTACTAGCTTATTGAAATATAATTTATTAACACGGTTCTGGAGGTCAGAACTCCAAAATGGTTCTCACTGGGCTGAAATCCAGGTGTTGACAGGGCTGTGTTCCTTTCTGTAGACTCTGTGGGAGAATCTGGTTTTTTTTGCTTTTTTTTGGCGGGGGGGGGGGGGCTTCTAATTACATTCCTTTGTTTATGGCCCCATTCTTCTCTCTTCAAAGCCAGCAATGTCAGGCCAAGCCCCTTTCACACTGCCATCTATTTGGTTCTCCTCTGCTGCCCTCTTCCCCGTTTAAGAAACCCTAAGATTTGATTTGGCCCTCCCAGATAATCCAGGATAATCTCCCTATTTTAGGGTCATAGTTGATTAGCAATCTTAATTCTGCTTGCATCTTTAATTCCTCTTTGACATGTAATTAGACATGTAATCTCATAGGTTCCAGGGAATATGATTTAGACATCTTTATGAGGACTACTACTATTCTACCTTCCACACTGTCTCCTAAACAAATCACTTGTCAAATCTTTAAGTTTCTATTTTTCCATTCTTTCACATTTGTTTTGGGTACTTCATTTCTGTTAACCTTGTTCTGTTTAGTCTCAAACTACTATAAAATAGATGTCAGATACTTGAGCTTTAAAAAAATTAAATTGGAACCTCCAAAGTCTCCTTTTAAGCTATATCATTAATGATTCAGGTATTTGCTTAATCCAAGAAAACACATGTAAGACCCTTGGTTTAACTTCTGAAAAAAAAAACAAAACAAGTATTGTCTTTTTGGAGAATTTCTGAATTTTTAGAGCATTAATATTTGTCAATATCTTATAAATGTGCCACAGTCTGGCTTTTTCTGATTCTTATGATTAGATTGAGGTCAAATATTTTTGGCAAAAATGCTACTTGGGTGATGTGTATTTTTCATCATATTTGGAAGTTCATGATGTACCGTTATTGGTGATGCTAAATTAGATCATGTGGTTGTGCTAAATAATCATCTTCAGTTTTAACAGTCAAATGGAGGACAGGTGGCAAGGCTTTGGTGCATATAAAGTAGAGAGTTAGCAGGGTGCCTGGGTTGCTCAGTTGGTTAAGTGTCTGACTTTTGATTTCAGCTCAGGTCATGATCTCAGGGTTATAGGACTGAGCCACACGTTAGGCTCAACTATATGTAATAATGTACTTATGTTATAAATAGAAAATACTATATGATTAAATTTATATAAAGTGTTAGATCGTGCAAAACTCATCTATGAGGTAGTGACTAGAAGAGGCACAAGGGAAGTTCTGGGCTTCTGGGGCTGCTCTATTTCTTGATCTGGGGGATATTTACACAGATGTGCTCACTTTGTGAAAATTCATTAAGTGTACCCTTGTAATTCCTGTGCTTTTCTATATGTGTGTATAATTAAAAAGTTTACACTAAAAAAGGAGCAAGGAACTTTGAGAAAAATCAAATAGAATTTTTGGAAGGGAAAAATATGATAATTAAAAATTAAATGGAACAATTAAATAGCATATTAGATACAGACAAAGAGAGAATTTGTAAACTGAAATAGAGTCAAGAAATCATCCAGAAAAGTAGGTTGAAAACATGAAGGATATAATGACATGGTTTAATAAAAAATTTAATTGGAACTTCAAAAGGAGAAGATTGAGAAAATGGAGAATATGAAATATTTTTTTAAAGATTTATTTATTTTAGAGAGAACATGAGCAGGAGGTGGTGGGGGTGGGGAGGATGCAGAGGGAGAGAGAGTCTCAAGCAAGACTCTGTGCTGAGCACAGAGCCCGATGTGGGGCTTGAGATCATGGCCTGAGCCAAAATCAAGAGTCAGACTCAACTGACTGAGCCACCCAGGTGCCCCAAGAATATGAAATATTTAAAGAGGTCATATTTATTTACCTGGATGGTAAATTTTTCAGGATGGTGCATTATATTAATTTTTGTATATTGAACCATCCTTGCCTTTCAGGAACAAATACTACTTGGTCATGGGGTATAATCCTCCCCCCACCTCCCCCCAGTAGTAGTAGTTTTGTAGTATAATGTTCCTAGGAGTGGTTTTGCTTATATTGTCCCTGTTTATGTTTGTTGCTGTTATTTTTTCTTAAGATTTTATTTATTTATTTGAGAGAGAGGAAGAGTGAAAGAGATCACAGAGGGAGAAGCAGACTCACTACTAAGCAGAGAGCCTGATGTAGGGCTCCATCCCAGGACTCCCACAAGATCATGACCTGAGCTGGAGGCAGATGCTTAACCAACTAAGTCACCCAGACGTCCTGTCCCTGTTTTGGTTTGATAGTTTCTTTGAATCTGTGAGTTGATATATTTCATTTTGGAAAATTCTCAGCTTATTATTCCTTTACATATTATTTCTGCCTCATTTTCTCTCCTCTCCATTTATGACCTCAATTATGTATATCTTCTCTTTTATTCCCTGTGTTTCTTATGTTCTTTACTAATCTTTTGTTTTCTCTTCTTTCTGAAAGTTCTGGTATATCTTTCAGTTCAATATTTCTGCTTTTAACTATTTTACCTGTGAAATCCGTCCATTGAGTTCTCAATATCTGGTATTATATTTCTCCGTTCTAGGATTTCCATTTGGTCCTTCCTCAGAATTATCAGTTTTCTGCTAACACTCTCAAGAGCATATTAAGTATAACAATTTTAAAGCCCATTATTTGTATCTTCAGTTGGTTTATTTCTACCACCTATTGTTTATTTTTATAGTCTTATTTCTTCATATGCCTGATTATTTTTATTAAGAGCTGAATATTTTATATAAATTTAAAATATAGACATAATTTGAGGCTCTTGATGATGTTATATTTCTTCAGACAAGATTTAAATTAGCTTCTGGAGGGCTAGGGGCACTAATCACCTTAACTCAGGGATTCAGATGATTTAGAGCAAGAGTTTGAGCCCCTGGGAGAGCCACTCTTCATCTGGTTCACCTAGCAGAATCACAATCCAAAGCCAAGGGCACTTTACCAGGGCCTGCCTTCCTATGAGGACTATAGTTTCCAATTTTACCTCTAGCCCAGGAATTAGTGAATTATGAACCACAGGCCAAATCTAGCCTACCACCTGGTTTTATAAATAAAGTTTTATTGGAACACTCTTATGCCCGTTCATTTATATATTGCCTAAGGCTACTTCTATGCAATAATGACAAAGTTGAGTAGTTGTTAGAGACAAATGGCCCCCAAAGCCAA